TAATCCGTAGAGAAACCTCTCTTCTATAAATCTGTACGATCTTGAGAATTCTTGACTCCGGAACTCAAAGTAGAAATAGCGACTCCGTTCCTGAACAGGAAATGCGGGTTTGGATGCGAGTATCAAGTGATATTCACGTGAGGAATATCTGCGGGGAAATAAGGTTAATCGTTGATGATGATGATGATGATGATGATGATGATATGATAACGATAATGTGACGTGATATGATCTGATTGATGTAACGTGAACACTGAACACCAATAAAAGACGACGATAAAAGCTATCAAACAATGAGATGAATCGAAAATCCTCCTGGGACTATTTATCGATATATATAATCTCTCCAAGCACAAAACCAAGAAAGATGAACACGGAGGTAATTAAACAACGATAAAGTATGATAGATAAATAAGAAATCCTTCTGCGACCCGGAAACCCCGTCGAATATTTATCCTCCAACCCATCAGCTGCCCACCTCATCCCTTTCTCCATCCTATCCCATTCCGTCCCGTCACCAAAGGTTACACCTTCCTTCCATCCGTCCAGCCCGCCAAGCGCCCACCAAGTTCCACCCGCTGAAACCATACTCCACCCATGCGATACAACCATAACCTGCGCGCCGACTCGATCGAGAATTAATCCAGAGAAACGCCGGAGAGACTGCAGTACTGCCTGCACACACACACCCATTCGAAAATGCGTACATACAAACTGCCAAACATCTTGGCCCACCCAAGCTTCTGGGCATTTAAGATTCCCTCACTACGCCCAGCAAATCACATGTGTCAAATATGTGACTTGGCTTCCAAAGTGGATTCGATCAAGATAAAACTCGAGAAAGTTAAAGGTTCCATTCGCACGCTAATACCTTATCTGTTTGGATAAATGGATAAATTTAGATTTCTCGCTTGGCATCTTCAGATCAGCACGGCTGCTTCCGTTTGTATCAATTCGAGGGGGAAATCCCTTTTGGTGGGGGTGTTTTGAGGGAATATGTGGATTGCGAGCATGGAGAATCATAGAAACATCACGGGGTTAGATGAGAGATTGCTTGATACTCCAAGAACTCGGACACAAACAAGGTATCATGAAGGGCTAGACTTGATGCGAATAGCCCCATTGTATCCAATTAGTACGTTTAAGAGGAAGAACAAGAAGACTACCCAAGTGTTCTCTTCATCAATATGTGATTTTCCAAGACTATCATTGCATTGTGAAATGGTATCCTGTTATTAAGAAATCTATAGCTTTCCTTCCCAATACACCCCACTAGATTTCCAAGAGCTCATATCATAGCTCAACTGTCTCAAATCTCATCTCCATCATGCAAACAAAAATTCCCAGCCCAAAGTTGCTCAAAAAGATACGTCAACTCCTCATTTGAATATAAAGTCGACGTGAAACGCCAGAAGAAATAGATCATGGTCGTAAGGAATTCGTATCGTCCAGTGGCATGGTGTGGAGAAAAATAAAAAAATGGTAAAGGGCCGAAGAGAACAAGAAGAATTGAAGTTTTGAATATCAAGTGCTTTTTCATCATCATCTTCCCGAGATCTTCGCCGCTCCTGCAGACCATAAACCCTTTGTCGTTTCAGCAATTTTCCTAGTCTGCGCCTCGATTTGTGCTTCTGTTTGACCTTGACCAGAACTTCTCTCTATAGCTTTCATAAACTTTTCACGCTCATCATTATTTGTACCTGCTGTACCATATCCTGAATCAACATCCATAGCATTATCTCCATCTCCATCTCCAGGTCCCATTCCACCCAAGCCAGAATCTTTACTGTTGTGATTCAAAGGTCTGGCTCCACGATCGGGCTCCATAGATTTTGAACCGTCCATCATGCCAGCTTGACCTTCGCGGAGTTTATTAATGGCGCGCACAGTATCAATGGCAGCATGAAGAGTACGCCTGGCATTGAAGTTCTTCTTCACAATCGGAAGTAAATCGCTACCTTTACCATCTTTTGATACTGATTCACCAGTGACGAAAGGGTGTGACAATGCTTCGTGGGCCGTCATTCTTTGGGTAGGGTCTATTGTAAGGCATTTCTTGATAAACTCTCGAGCTCCTCGACTGACACCTCGCCAGTATTCTATGGGTGTAAAGCTATAGTCTGCGATGAGAATCGCTTGCATTTCCTCCAAATTAGAATCTCTGTCGAAAGGCGTGTATCCACATAGTAAGAAATATGTAATGACACCAATTGCCCAAATATCGACTGGTTTTCCGTGTCCTGTCTTCTTAAAGATTTCGGGGGCCATGTAACCTGGTGTACCGCACGTCGTGGTTAAAACGTGAAATTGCTCTTCGTCCATTATTCTGCTCAAGCCAAAATCTGCAATCAACAAATCCGCATTATCTTCTGGGGTTCGAAACAATAAATTCTCGGGTTTAAGATCTCGATGGACGATGCCATGATCGTGTAGGTATGCCACCGCGGAAAGTGTTGCCCTGATAAGGTCTGCAGCGTCGGATTCAAAGTAAGAACCTTTTCGACAAATGCGATCAAACAATTCTCCGCCAAGCGCCAAATCGGTAACCAGATATAAATTATTGAGGGTTTCGAAGTAATCGACTAACGTGAGGATGTTTTGATGTCCCATGGAAACACGTTTGAGTACAGCGATTTCATTACGAATCTACAATCAGGAGGTGTCAGCAAACATGATTCATATGAGAGGAATGAAAAGATCTTACCATATGTTCTCTTCCCGCCATCAAGCGTTTATTAATGACTTTGGCAGCATAATATCTTCCTGTATCAACGTGGACACATTCTTTGACGACCGAGTAAGACCCTGCGCCCAACGTTTTTCCAGTCTTGTACCGACATGCTTGAATCTGAGGTTGCGGCGCTCCTGAGCGAGAACCCCCCTGGGGATTCGAAGAGCTCATCTTGTTGTGCGAAGGCAGAATGGAGTATTAGATGAGGTATATTATTAAAAAGAGCCCAGGTGCGCACGACAATCAAGAAAGTGATGATGAGCCACTCTGCACGGATGATTCTCGGAGAGATTGATAAGTAGATTTGAAGGGTTGGTGGAAGTTTAAGTTGTTAGTTGTTCTGGTGTTCTGGTGTTCTGGTGTTCCAGAATGAAAAAGGATGGTCTTTCAGGTATTGCGGTTAGATTGCGGGGCAATGGATGAACAGTGATTAGGTAGTTGGGTACCTATGTTAGGCTTAGTAAGCTCGAGGTCAGCTATCGTTAGCTGAAATCACCTGCATTACCTGCATTCACCAACGGCCAAAGAGTGAGAGTCCAGCATTCACGTGCACAAAGTCAAGTGAGCTCAAGCCTTCAAGGGATCATGTAAGACATGTACGACTAGAAATGAATACGAACCCTTTCATCTTGATGCAAAGGTTTACGAGTAAAATAAGAGATTGAAGGGTTACGGGTGTACCAACTAGTATTCACATGATTTCTAGTCAGATTAATTGAAGTGATGTTCTGTGATAATCGCAAATACTTACTTGAAGGTATGTGGCTCACCATGCTGATCACTAGCTTTACTTTCCGAAGATTTGGCTGGCGGTCAAGGAAGCTGCTTACTTTTGCTTACTTTGCTTGGGCTTGGGTATGGGAGTATGGAGTATGGAGTATGGAGTAAGAGTCATATAAAGGTTGAAGTGAAGGTTGAAGTGAAGACTAATATGATAGACTGAAGTGAAGACTGATATAATACCTACCTAGTAGGTACCGTAGACTTTAGTTCAGCTAATAAAAGACCCCAAAGCTCAGCCATATATATTTCCAAAGTGTAAACCAAACCTGGACCCTGATCGTGGGTGTCACGATGATCTTATTGGTCATAATGATGTAAAGGTCTATTTTAAGGTTGGTGAGGGTATTGGTGAGGGTTGGTGAGGGTAATGGTAATACATATATTGGTTTGTTGTGAGTTGGGGAAATGGCTAGATCAATGGAATTTTAATAGAGTACTAGGTAGGTTCGAGGTAGGTAGGTACCTAGGGTTTTTATCTTTATACTGCATCTCACTTCATCTCACTTCACACTTCACTTCACACTTCACTTCACACTTCACTTGACACTTCACTCCCACCAAATACGAGTACGATCCACTAGAGATCTCGTATCTTTCTTCACTACCGACTCTGGTACACAGTCTACATCCACTACACACTCAACATCCACTACACACTCGACCATACCAATACTCATACCATCACGGTTACCATTCAATTCTTCAAACTTCAAAGTAGCCACCACCACACCACCCTCCTCTCATTATCAAACTCAATTCATTCATCTCATTAAAAATCTTCCCATGCGTTCTGTTCCTGAACCTTGCTATCGGTACTTAATCCGAACCTTCAGTCCTTACTCTTTCATGGATACCGATGAATGGATGTATCTATCAATCAAACCTTGATCCAACATTTCATGCTTCTTGCTTCTTGCTTTTTTCTCAACACCAACCTTCTCCATTCTAAAACAAGTTCCAGAAGATTGATTCCTCACTCTATCTCATACATATTCATCCATTGCCCTTCATTTAACAGCATAATTAATCTACACGTGATACAATTGTCTCCATTTAATTACTCCACAGCAAAAGACGCGTCGTCACAGATATATCATCTCAAAATTCTACCGAATGTGATCTTCCAAAACCTAAATCGTGCTGCTGGGACTGCGCCTTGTCAACAGTACAAATCCACAAAAAATCGTAAGTCTCGACTAGGATATCATCTTGTGTTGTCATTAATGTGTATGGCGTTGAAATTCACTTAATTATGTTGTCCTGCCCCGGCCGCGCCATTTCTTTTTTCTCTTCTTCTTCTTCTCCTCCTCCTCCTCCTTCAGCTCCTATTTATTTGTTTCAAGTATACCCTCGTTTTGTACTTTGACTTTCTCTCTTGTTTTTATTTAATTTTCTTTCGTGTACCAAGGAAATCTTCTTAAGCAAGAGACCCGCGCAAAGAAACTGTGGAAATTAGTAATCAGTCGTGCATTTACCGTCAAGAGAGATGGACGACTATGGCGTGGGATCGAGTGGAAGTAGTGATACCCCAGGAAGCCAAGCTGGAGCCCAAGGAAGCTATGACAGTTCCGGTAGCTATGGATCAAGTGGGAGTCAAACAGCACAAGGTCAATACAATGCTCAGACAACCGCATATCAATCCGCATATACATCTGCAGCTACTCCAACAACTACCTCTAACAGTCAGAGTCAAACAAACTCCGCATTCCCAACGTCCACTTCTTCATCAAGTGGACTATCATCAACGGAACGAACAGCAATAATAGCAGGTGTTCTTGGTGGTGTCGGAGCATTATTGATCATATCTCTCATTGCTATCTATCTACTGCAAAGGAGGAAGACGAAGAAGGCTGCTGGTCGCAAAGGAGTTACTCAGCAAGTATCTTACAATGGATTAAACTCTTCATTTGCTGGTGTACCTTTTATCAAAAGGAACAGTCAAGGGAGTGATAGTGAAATATCTCGACCACCAATGGTCGCCGACACTTCATACCAAGGAGCATATATGAGAGGCGGACAGTCCAGCTATCCTGACCTTTCCAGTGATATGGAAACAGACAGATTCCTACCAAATGATGAGGAAACCCAACAGAGAATGGCCGGTGGAGGAAATGGATATCACTCACCACCTAATCACCTTGGCTCTCCAACACAAGATCCATTCACAGATCAAAACCGCCTATCTCAGCTGACACAAAACCGCCTATCTCAGTTATCACAAAATCGCCTCTCTCAGTTGTCACAAAATGTTGGGTCTCCTCCCAGACCAGGTCCATTAGTCAGACATGATACCATGGGTTTCCCTCTCGATGACGATGACACTTCATACATTGGACCAGATGGTGAACAACACCGCCTCTCCAGAATAATGCACAGCCCCCGTACATCCATTCTCGAACCGACCATTATAGCTCCCGCCCCCATACGCCCCACCGTTTCCCACGAGAATCTCGAGCGAGGCCTCAATGGAAGCCAGGATCTCTATCAAAATCGGGTCGTTCCCCAACATCTTGATTCTCTCACATCAAACTACGATACGCCATACGACGTCGAAAATGAAAATGATACAGTTCCACCTATGTATGGAGGTATCCAAAGTCTATCTCCAGCTCCTATAGAATCAGGAACATGGATCGCCGCACGCAATCCACACTTAGCTGCTGCTTTCAGTAATGATATGCATAGAAATTCGAGCACGAGGACTCAGAGTAGTTTTGCACCTAGTGTGATAAGTGATACGGAGTTGGATAGATTGGGAGTGGGACAGAGATTGTGAGGAGGGGGGGAGTGAAAAATCAAAGTGAAAGTGAAAGTGGTAGTCGAATGAGAATGAGAATGAGAATATGAATTTCATTTGTAGGATCAGTGTGATGGGGGACATTGGATTGGGTAGTGGAAAGAAGTAATGTTGATGTTTGATTGGATAAGATGGGATAGTATTGAATGGTACTGAATGAAAGTGTAGGAAGGGAGGGAGGAAGGGAGTGGGCACTTGAATTGGCGTTTTGGGAAAACAGCATATGATATCCTGGTCCGGTCAGTGAATAATGAGTTGTTAGCATAGTAGTCAATTGATTTTATTATAATTGCAATTGCCTTGTCTTCTTTTTAATATATTTGTGATTTGTATTGTGATTGGGGGTGGGAGGATGGGGAAATGGGAAATGGGAGATAGAAGATAGGAGATGGGAGATGGGAGATGGAGATGGGAGATGGGAGATGGGAGATGGGAGATGGGAGATGGGAGATGGGAGATGGGAGGAGATGGGAGATGGGAGATGGGAGATGGGATGGAGATAGGAGATGGGAAAATGAGTTGAATCTTTCTGGGATTCTTGCGATTTGGGGTTTAGACTGCGGGCTGTGGGCTGCGGGATGCAGGCTGCTGTGCTTTGGGATGATATTGTTTGGATTATTGTTGTTGTTTGGGTGGGAGGGAAGGGGTGGGAGGGAGGAGAGGGAAGGGGAGGGAAGGGGAGGGAAGGGGAGGGGAGGGGAGGGGGAAAGAAGATAAAATTGGATGTGGCGAGGCGAGGTGAGGTGAGGTATGATGATGTGAGATGAGATGAGATGAGATGATGGCTGACAATTGTTAATATAGTTATTTGTTTGTTTGTTTGTTGTTGGTTGTTGGTTGTTGGTTTTGAATTGGTTAGTTGTTGGTTCTGGATTGATTAGTTGTTGATTTTGGATTGGTTCTAAGTTGATGAGTTGGTGGGTTAGTTATTAATTGGTTCTGTATCTATTTATGGAATTTTGTAAGATCATGTATGAAATGAGGTAGGTAGGTAGGTAGGTAGGTGATCTTCTGTGTATTTTTGTGTATTTTTGATTAGAGTAGGGAAGGAACGGGGAAGGAGGAGAGTAAGGAGAATAGAGAGAATAGGGAGAATAGGGGAGTAGGGAAAGTAGGGAGAGTAGGGAGAGGAGGGAGAGGAGGGAGCGGAGGGAAAGGAGGGAAAGGGAAGGAGAGGAGAGAGAGAGGGAGAGGAAGGAAAGGAGAGAAAGGCGAGAAAGGAGGGAGAGGAGGGAGAGGAGGGAGAGGAGGGAGAGGAGGGGAGAGGAGGAAGAGGAGGGCGAAGGGGATAGGCGGGATGGAGGGAGAGAGGGCGAGGAGGGAGAGGAGGTAGAGGAGGGAGTTATGGAGAGGGGGGAACTGGGCTGGTGTGTATGATTTGATGATTTGAAGTATTTTTGGAATATGTTAATTTGTTTATTTGGTTTAGTTTCTGATTGTTTTTATTATACAAGATAGTTTGTTTGGATGAGTTTGGGTTAAGGGTTGGAGGGGTGGGAGTTTGGAGTTTGGGGTGGGAGGAGTGGGAGTTTGCAATTTGCGGTTTGGAGTTTGAAGTTTGGGGTTTGGGATGGGGAGAGGTACCTGGGTTTCTATGAGAGGTTTCTATGGGAAGTAGGTGTGAGGTGTGAGGGTTGATATATAAAGATTGTAATAATATGATATGATATAGGATATTATATTATAAGATGAGATGAGATGAGATGAAATAATAATCTTTGAGAATTATTATACTTTTTGATTTCGATTTATTTGGGATAATTTAAAAGTGGAAGGAAGGTAATCGGGGGTTACGATCCTCTTCACCCCTCATTGTATCAATAAGGGAGCCTCAGCAATTCGTCAATTTTTCAGCAATTCATCAACTTTTCTTTTAGTGTGAAATCTCCCTAGTGAATAGAATCAATTTTTTCTAACTTTTTATTTATAAAAAATAAAAATATTTTGAAATATTCAAAATAATTATTAGTTTAATTTGATTACAAATATTTATTTATATTATTAAAAAAATAAAAACTATAGGAATTATTATTAAAAGTTACAAATTACTGAAAAGTTGACAAATTGCTGAGGCCCCCTTATTATAGATAAGGGGGTAAATAAATATAAACCCTCGATTAGATAATGGATGGTGGGATAGTATGTATAATATAGAATAATATAATATAGTATAAATATAAGTATGAATATGAGTATAAATATGAGTATGAATATGAGTATGAATATGAGTATGAATATGAGTATGAATATGAGTATGAATATGAGTATGAATATGAGTATGAATATGAGTATGAATATAAGTATAAGTATGAGTATAAGTATGAGTATGAGTATGAGTATAAATATGAGTATGAGTATGAGTATGAGTATAAGTATATTTTATTTCACTTTACTTTATATTATTTTATGTTATTTTATATAATATTATGTTACAAGATTTCTAGAAAGTATAGCGGTATGTATTGGATTAGATTGAATTGAGTATTATTAGATAGTAGGGTAAGAGGAAAGGGGAGGGGGAGCGGGAGGGTGAGAGTACTAAGTACATACTATATTGTAGATAGGCATGAAATATAGATTCATTCTTGAGGTGTCTCATCTCTGTCACTTAATGAGTGGATAAGTGGATGAGTGAATAAATGAATAAATGGACTATTAGAGAATATATCTTCTACTCTACTTTACTCTACTCTACTCTACTCTACTCACTTACTGATACTTTCAAAACGGACTTTATGAATTACTATAGAGTCTAGACAAATTAGAATCCACACACAATCTCATAAGATTAGACAAATTTATATTTTGAAGCTGAAGGGTCTTTATATCTAAAAGTAAAGTAATCTTATATAGTATAATAGTTTACGGGATTTCCATCGAAGGTGTCTGTATAGTATCAAATCTCATTCTTCTTCTTCTTCTTCTTCTCCAAGCGAGGATAGAAATATTGTTATCTGTATGATGGACGTTCCTGTAGTCTTGCATTTTGGACTGTGCGAGCAGCTATGTATAGCTAGGTAGCTAGGTATGCATATCTTGTTTCTCAGACCTGGTGAAAAGGGGTGGGATATCAAATCGTCGGCTTATGTTTGGTTTGTATGATACTTGGTGATTAGCTAGATAGGTAGGTATGTAGTGCAAATACGATCAAGGAATTTCATGTATTAACTTTTGCTCGATTTGGTTTCTTATATCATCGGGTTGGAGTTGTTGATACCTATTTAGGAGGAGTTTTATACGCAAAGTTTGTTGCATATTGCCTTTGAATATTTTCACCAACGGGACGCGAAATCACCAAGATTGATTTGATTGAATTGTGAGGGTCAATTGGCGAAATGTGGTTTATTGAATTGATATATCGTGGCTTTTCAGATCACCTGGGGTAAGGTAGACTATTTATCCTTCAGCCCTACCAGCAATCAATCCATGTTGATGGCTGAGACATGGGGTAGTGTAACCACGAAGAATTATTCATTCTGCTGGCTTCCTGCATAATCTGCATCTTCAAACTATACAACAGTCACCTCCAATACCCATGTACAGAATCTGCTTCGAAGAAATTGAAATATGATACATACATGCTTCTTCATCCGGTGAACCAATTCGTGTTCTCTCAGTGAACTTTTGAAAGCCAGTGAAACATTCCAGACAATGAAATTCTATTTCAGAAGTCACCGCCGCCTTTTCCACTACTTCTAGACTTCTTTTTATCCCCATGTTGCTTTTTCATTTTTAATCTCGCTATATTGGCCGAAGTTTGTCTGTCATGAATATTAGCGCATTCTCGCGTTAAAAAGGGTGGCAGTATCTCAAAGCTATCGAGCTGTATTGCTATTGTAAAATGATCCAGATATAAATCACAAAGTTGACTTGCCCTTATAGCTAGACGACGGGCCCCAGCTCCTGAATCCCGCCTGTGTTTTTTATTTATTTTAACTTCTGGGTATCTTTACTTATCCCTTTCATTTACACAGTTTGCTCGAAAAGAACTTCTTCCGCCATTGTTTGAAGGGGATGATGTTCTCTATGAGAAGCACAAACTTCACGAATGAATACTGATTGAGATAACACAAAAGCAAAGAAATTTATGACTTACAAGTGCTTCACTCTCTGTTGTTGTTCAATTGAAGCCTTTCCCGGAACTGTTGTCCTGTATATACGTTTGATTTCTTCATTCAATCTTCGATGCGTCTCCTCTTTATTATCAGTCCGATTGCGACTACTATCACATTGAATCTGAATTGCATCAGTATTCTTCACATAATAAGTGCCACGGCGTAATCCCTTCGATATTATCAACGGCAGAATGGCATCGAGCTTTTTCATAGACCAAATGGTGTTGGCTTTTGAAGATGTTCTGGAGGGAGTCAGTACTTGGGAGACTTGTCTTTGAATCTCAAGAAGCTCGACGTACTTGTTGGTCTTTTGTCCACCAGGACCTCCAGCAGCTGAGTAGGTAGTCTCGGCTAGCTTTGTGGAAATGGTTGATTCATTGAAATTAGAATACCATTTTCTGGCAACCTCAAATTCAATGTCATCTGTAGATTGAACAGAATATGATCTGCAACTCTGAAGATTCAACCTTGCGGAAAAAGGGCGTGTTTGAAGAAACGTTGTATAAATTGGCTTGACATTTTGAGAAGATGATTGCAGCAGCTTAGCTGTGAGCTTGGCAAAATAATGCATATCACTTCGACAAACTTCTTTGTTATCTCACCTGCCTAGAGGTTCATGTGATGTTTGCAAGGTGTTGCTTGACTGAGGTAGTATGTAAATACTTTACAGATGGAAACTTTCCCCTTTTAGCTCCAGCATTGAAGAGTAGGTAGGTAGCGTTACAATGGAGACGAGGGCAAATGTAAATGTAAAACAAATGACCACCAGGACCGCCCCAAGTAGATTACATAAGCATTATTAAGTTGAGCAACCCAATTCGAATATCCGAGCTTTATCCGAGCCAGACTCTCCAAGACTACCTA